CCTTTTTTTCCTGCAATCTTCTTGTCGGGCCAGTGACACCAGTGGAACTTCCTCTTCTTCCATTTCTTCCTGTGCCTGAGGGTAGGCATTCTTTCAGAACTGAGTGGTGCTCATGTAATAATCTATGAGCGCCACTCAGTCCTGGAATACCGTGAGCAGTGGGATTCCAATATTGAGGCAGCCTGAGGCAACTCATTAGGTCCCGTGGGTGGCAGGTGTGCCTGCCACCCCCTTGCCGGCTAGATCATCCCAGGTTGCTAAGAGCTCTTAGCAACCTGTGACTCTCTAGCTGGCTTCCCACCCAGCTCATTGACATCCCTGGTTGCCAGGAGCTCTGGCTGGCATCCCAACCAGCTCCTAGGTACCATGCGTGGCTTCCCCCGGCCTGCACTGCCAGCACCACACTACCCCTACCTTCCCCTGGACCTGCACCGCCAGCACAAAAGGGCAGAGTGTCATTCTGCCCTGAAAAGGACAGCCGGGGAAACACAAATGGCAAACAAAAAGCTGGAGTTCCACTTTATCATTCTTATGTATGGCAACTTTATCTTTTTCAGAATGGCAATGCTGAACAGGTCTTAGCTGGCGTAGAAAAACTGAGCCCCCTCCCACAATGCACTTCCTCCACTGATCCTGCATGCTCTGTGCTATCAATCAGAATGATAATGGAAATGCTGTAGGGCTGCTGATTATCTGGAGTGTATCTCTCTCTTCAAATGTAAAATGTATATAGTTTTTCATGGCCATTCCAGTTCATAATGACATTAAGGACCTGATGAGCTTATCTCTCTGTCACTCTGCTCTTTCCTCCTATTAGAACCATAATGTGTGCAGCCAGCTTTATACATACCGATCATAAACTGCTGGAGAGTGTACAAAACACTATAGTCATTTTTGTCTATTGGGTTGGGCAGAACTGTGGTTGGTGTATCTGTTATGGCCCAGAAGCTACGGCAGTTGCCCAATCTCCTGGCACAGATTGCCCCATCACGGACTTCCACAAGGGTTCCTTGATCCAGCCTGGTCAGAATGAGGTTCACTGCTTGAATCAGTATCTGGTCGCTCACTTGTTTCTGAGCCTGGGGCAGAATCACATCCTCTAAATAGCTGTTCGGAGGTGGCTGTTGTCTGGATGTGAGGCAGAATCCATTTCGGTTGGTTACCGTTGTGCTTTTAACTTTGGTTCCTCGGTAATAAATGTTGACTTCAAAATCAGTTTCTGTAGTGAATGGAGGAAGAATTTTTTTTTACATGCAAACTAAGACCCATCAATCAGCAAATACATCATCATGTGATGATTGTATCAAATGGTATTTGCCAACAGCCAATGGGACCTTTTGACTGTGGCGTGGAGAGTTTAGCATGGGTTTGCCTGCATTACTCAAATGGCGCTGTCTAAAACATACACAACTGCTTCCATAGTGATTATAGTATTACTGATATTATTGCTGACATAGCATTAATCATGGTCCCCTGACATTTATGGTTAGTGTTCAGGTTAGGTCCAGGTTAATGTAGATCTAAGGGCCATCATACACATTACAATCTAACCATAAATTCTCTGTACAATGTAATATGAGGACCTACCTAAACATGCAATCAATTTGTAACCAATCAGGAAGGCCCTTGTACTGCTTATAAAGAGATTGTACAATTAAACTGTAAGGTGTGGTGAGCTTTAATCTCTACAAACATTTTCAATCGTTCTCCGCTCAGCAGGAGACCAAAATGTATTAATCTTATTGTATATCAGTATGCTATCCAAATTATATCACACCCGCCCGCTTTAGCTATTTGGTGGTCACATTACAGGAAGATAATAAATATATTTTGTTCTAAAATGTATCATCGTAACATTGAAACCATATATCCAGCAACCTGAATGTCCCCTTTTTGTGTATACAATATATAAGCTTCAGTCCAGTGAACCTTTAGGGCTCACGCTGGGCCATACAATGTGAAAACATGCTGGGCCATACAAAGTGAAAATTCTGGCTTTTTTCATGGCCCGGGAAAGCCCAGGCTCGTGTAAATGTCTTTATAGGTTACATATGTATCCTCTGAATGAAGACTTTCTGTATTTAGGTAAAAAGTCTGTACACTATATGCTGGTTTATGAGTACCGGCATATACCCACATACAGTTGTTCATGGCTATGGGCATTTGTATGCAGCCCCTGGGTAGAAGAAAGCCCACATTTTCACATCATACACCCCAATGCATCTGTGTGCATAAGCAAAGGGTCTACAGGAGGCCAGCAATGCTGAGATGCAGTAAAGCAGGGGTGTCAAACTCAATTTAATCGTGGGCCGCATCAACATTATGGTTGCCCTTAAAGGTGTCTGTAAGACTGTATAAATGTATCTACTGGTTTTAGTAATAACTTAATACCTAGATCTGAAAGTAGAAGTCTAGGAAATGGCCTGGTCGGCCGGATTCGGCCCCTGGGCCTTGAGTTTGACACATGTGCAGTAAAGGATAAAAAAATGTTCTATTTAAAAAAAGGCAATTGTTTATGATGCAGTGTTTTAGCAAACTATATGTCATTCTTTATGTCATACTCTATGACAACAGTATGTGCATATACTTTTCAAAAGGAGATGCTTGGCACCTGCACTGCAGGGATCTGCCTGCTTCTGCTTCATCCACATGTGATGTGTGCCTCCTTCAACCTCTCCTTCTAGAATACTGTCCCACCAGTCAGTAGATCACCCAATAATTCAGGAAAAGCTCTGACATGAGGAAGCAAAGCCTTGCTTCTCTTTCGAAATGTGCCCGCACGGAGCCCACATGCAGCACTGGTGACTAGTTCTTTGCACTCTGCTTGCTGTTCTTGGGCACAGCTTCCAAAGTACAAATCTTCAAAGTCTTTACTTTACATATTAGTAAGATTTGCAACACGCACTATTGAAGAGGTAGGCAACCTTGGCCTCTGGGACTCATGCGAGTCTTGCAATGCCTCATGGGATTTGGAGTTTCACCACAGCTGGAGTGCTGAGGGTGCCTACCCTACACTACTGATTTTTTTCTTCTTCTTATAACTGCACTGGTGTTTACTCAGGCTAACTCCATGAAGAACCAAAGGGTGCCAGAAGTTCTCACCCTATGAAGTTCTCAAGAATGGAACCCAAGATTGATGCAATTGTCCTTAAAACATTAGTTTGTATATTCTCACCAAAGGAGTTGTAGGTAAAATGTTCCAGTATGTTTTGTTGAAATATTTCTTGTTCTTGAACCAGCTGAACTTGTCCTGTTGAATATAGAGAGCATTAAGATTACAAATGCTGTTTTTGTGAACTACTCCTCAAGCCATATGAGAAATGTCATGGTGTTAGGAACTACAATGTTATAATGAACTTTGTAAAAAGTATCTGTCTAAAAAGGTTTTAAGTCATCCAGGTCATAGTATATATGGAGGTAGGAATCAAGCGTCCAGTTTTGTTTGACTAACCCTCACTAGATTTTAAAATCTTTATGTTATTTGGTTTATTAAGACTGTGCAGGCATTTTAAGCAACCACTATGTTCCACTGGAAGTGGTCAAATTTTGCTTGAGTCTACAGGGTCAATCTCTAACTGTCTACGGTTAACTATGGAGTGTAAGCCTGATCTTCTACAAGTGCTATATGACAGTAAGACAGCAAGCAAACTATATTCAGTGTAGGTTGGATGCAGTAGAATATACAAAATAGTCTACGGTCTACATATTATACAATATAATTTCCCTTTCATTTTTTAAACTGACTTGGAAACAGCTGGAGTTTAAATATCTGATAAGAACTGTAATTCTCTTTGTCTTTCTTAATGCGCTAAGTAGAGCCAAGGTCTACATAATGGAGAAGGACCTGGAAATTGACATTTATGCAGAGTCATACAACTCTCCATACATATCTGTGTGTCGGGGAGATCCTCCTGTACTTATGTGTGAATGCGGGTCTTCATGTACTGTATAAGAGTAGATATAAAAGTAGAGAAAAGGAACAGTGGATGTGTTGCTCTTAAAATGGAGCTCCACAAAGAGAGAGAGGGGGACAGCCTCTGGGGGAAATCCAAGATATGACAACTAGGGATGCACCGATATCGGTATTTCGGTACCGAGTAAAGAATACAAAGCCGGCAATTATCTAGAAGTATGTGTTTGTAGATTGTCATTACCAAACATTTCTAAAGGTGTGTTTGTTGTTATTTTAAAGATATGGGTAAAGTTCCTTATTAGGGTCCAAGGCTGCTGCCTCTCTGGTCAGAACCTAACAATGCTGGGGTTTTCCTTCAGTTTGGGGAGATTTCTTCACACTTCCCAGTTTCTCTGGGATAAGAAGTGAGAAAAACATGAGACAGCAATAATAATATCCTGATTGAGGTTCTAACCCTTCCCTACACTGTCCAAAACTAAGAAAAACATTAAACTGGACTTCCACTTTAACAATAAATCAAATGCATGATTTTATTTTCTAATCTATGTTTAATCAATGACAACTACATTCTGACTGCTCGCTATGGGTAACACAGACACTCTTTCTTTAAAACAATGTATAGGTTAGCAAAAACTAAAATGTAGTGCTGTGATCTCAAAGCTATTCTGTCTATTATATAACCTACCAGCTTGTACTTTATTAATCATGCCAGGTGGAACATCACTGCCAACAGCGTAGGCACCCTCATAGTAAGCAGCGCCACCTTCCGTAGGTACTTGTGATGAAGAAATATGGTAATCAATTTCTTGATCAGGTACAATGGCATCCGGGATTGCATAAGCATTTTGTAAATCCTCCAGATCACAGTATAATGCTGAAAATGCGTAAGAAAAAAGGAAATGTAAGTAAACAAAGGATCATTTAAACGGTCAGTTCATCCACTACCAATGTCTTGGTTACAGATAGGTGCCCATGGGATCTTACCGCACTATCAATAAAGTGCCTGCACTATTTTTGAGAATGCATTGCACCACAACACATACAGCATGCGCACAGGGCCGGATTTACTTTCTATGCTGCCCCAATGCAATGTTCCTCAAGCAGTGGCGACTCTATGAACAATATATAGGGGGGACACATAAGATACCACAGTCAAAACTGGGGGGGGGGGGGTTTAATCATTTTCCCCACTAAATCATACCACTGAAAAAAACTAAATAAGTATACATAAATAAAAGATTACAAATATCATGAGATGACGAGGGATCATGAAGCCGGCTTCACGGCGCACAGCTTCCTGATTGGCCAGTTTCCCAACCAATCAGGAAGCCGGGCAGCGCGTCATTAGACGCTGTGCAATGGGCCTAGAGCCTGTTCAGCCCTATCCGGTCCAATGATGTGCGTTAATGTGCATTGTGTTAAGGCAGACCATTCATTTGAATTTGAGGAAAGGCATAGGTCGGAACCATCTGCAATGGTTTTTGTAATATCTGTAACAGGCTGGCTAACTAGAGAAATCAAGAGCAGTACTCAAAAGACGAAATAAATTGGTTGAGTTAACTTGCCAGCATCTAGCCAAAATATATTTTGAAACATCTGATTGCACTTTTGGACTTATTATGCTTTTTATTTTTATCTTTCACTGAATCTGATGCTAGTTATCACTCTTTGGCACTGTCCTTATTAAATATAATACATTATATCAGTAAATGCCTTTGTATAAGAAAACATTTTACCTGCATTATCTTGGTGAAGCTGTAGGTGATCCAGTTGTTCTAACATTAACATTTGCTGATAATGAGGAAAAAAACAGCCAGAAATTAGATCTACAGCAACCTGCCCCAAATGTAATGTTTTCCCTGGTTTATATATAAATAATAATAAATAGTTAGACCCTTTTATCATCTTTGTATAACTGCGTCCCCATCAGGGAGATTTCTACTCGTAAGTCCAACTGTCCGATTCATGGGTTCTAGACAGCACAGAAAGCAAGGGGAGATCATTCTGTCCAGATACAGATATATCCTTTGTGGGAGCAGGCAGTATTTGTAGGTAGCAATACCTACAAATATTAATAGGCAGCATACAAAACTACAACATGTAAAAAAATAATATGTGTAAATCAAACAAAACAAAATAATTATCCAGCCTTTCTCAACCCTTGGGTTCCTCCAGAGGTTACTAGGGATTCCAAAAGTAATCAGCAACTTCTGACTCTCAGACATGTAACCACTAACACCAATGATCATGTTACATGTCTGTAATGGGATCATTCTTCCCACTGACCACCAATGTAAGGGGCATTCTTCCCATTGACTACCAATGTAAGGGGCATTCTTCCCACTGACCACCAATTTGAGGGGCATTATTTCCACTGACCACCGATGTAAGGGGCATTCTTCCCAATGACCACCAATGTAAGGAGCATTCTTCCCGTTAACCACCAATGTAAGGGGAATTCTTCCCAATGAACCCCGATGTAAGGGGCATTAAATACATTGACCACCAATGTAAGGGACATTCTTCCCATTGACCATCAATGTAAGGGGCATTCTTCCCAATGAATCTTGATGTAAGGGGAATTCTTCCCAATGACCACCCATAAAAGGGGCATTCTGCCCAGTGACCACTAATGCAGTGATATAGTAATTATTGGCAGAGGTTCCCTGAGACCTGAACATTATTCCAACGGTTCTTCCTTGTTAAAAGGGTTGAGAAATGCTCCAACCTTCTGTATCTCTATGTGCAATCTTGAATAATAGAAAAAAAAACACAGAGTGCCTCTGAAAAAGTTCTGGTGACAAAATACATTAGGTGAGGCTTGAAGACATGTTGGTACACGCATGATACTGAGTGAGACATTGGACACCAGGGACCATGGCTGTGATCTTGTATTAGCTAACAGAGGCCCTGCATACACATGGGATTACTTGATAGTGCCAAAGGCACATACAGTATGTCACATGAGTGTTCCCTGCTGTTGTAACCATTTTTTTTATATTAAACCTATAACACTATGAGAAGTCTCTTCCTGCTGCTAGAAGAACGTGCAGATTTGTCAGTTGGATAGCCATCTATATGGAATTCAGGAGCAGGGGAAAGCAAGCTTAAATCCATGGATTGGAGATTAAGAAGTGCATTTGTCTGACTTTTAACCCTTTTCGCTTTTGGGTAATTGTTTTCATTTTGAAAACACATACTAAAATGCACATATTGTACATGCACTTAAAACCACTAAAAATTTTAAATGTTCAGAAAGGAAAGACATTATAGAATAAAATGGTGGTGGCTGCAATTTTTGTCTGTCACACGGTTTGCGCTACTATTTAAAATACTGTGTAAAATGTAAACTATAAATATTACTAGTTATAACTGCAACATTGAATGTTATACACCTCTACTTTACATTACTGTGTTGTAACACAATGTTCAAATTATTGTATACTTTGTCTGCTTTCAAAAAACTATTGAAAATCAATAAAAAGTGATTTGATTAAAAAAATTAAATACTGTGTAAAAATACATTGAAACTTATTTTAGTGCACACAAACATAATATAATGATATTATATTTATTAATTTGTGGCATATTACTGTAGAATGTAAACAAACTCTTGACTGGTATAGTGGCCGTGAGTTTGTTTGTGTGTGAGTATTGAAAACCCTACAAAAGTCCTAAACCTTAAAGTGATATTAAAGTCAAACATTGTTATTCACAAAAGGTTGAAGAGTTTGGAGAAGGCAGGAGAAGTGAACAATCTAGGCCAAAATACAGATGTTCCTCGCTTACCGACTTACCTGTTTTGCGACCACTCGCACTTACGACGGACCGCCGATCGACCTTCCACCAATGTAAGGGGAATTCTTCCCAATGAACCCCGATGTAAGGGGCATTAAATACATTGACCACCAATGTAAGGGACATTCTTCCCATTGACCATCAATGTAAGGGGCATTCTTCCCAATGAATCTTGATGTAAGGGGAATTCTTCCCAATGACCACCCATAAAAGGGGCATTCTGCCCAGTGACCACTAATGCAGTGATATAGTAATTATTGGCAGAGGTTCCCTGAGACCTGAACATTATTCCAACGGTTCTTCCTTGTTAAAAGGGTTGAGAAATGCTCCAACCTTCTGTATCTCTATGTGCAATCTTGAATAATAGAAAAAAAAACACAGAGTGCCTCTGAAAAAGTTCTGGTGACAAAATACATTAGGTGAGGCTTGAAGACATGTTGGTACACGCATGATACTGAGTGAGACATTGGACACCAGGGACCATGGCTGTGATCTTGTATTAGCTAACAGAGGCCCTGCATACACATGGGATTACTTGATAGTGCCAAAGGCACATACAGTATGTCACATGAGTGTTCCCTGCTGTTGTAACCATTTTTTTTATATTAAACCTATAACACTATGAGAAGTCTCTTCCTGCTGCTAGAAGAACGTGCAGATTTGTCAGTTGGATAGCCATCTATATGGAATTCAGGAGCAGGGGAAAGCAAGCTTAAATCCATGGATTGGAGATTAAGAAGTGCATTTGTCTGACTTTTAACCCTTTTCGCTTTTGGGTAATTGTTTTCATTTTGAAAACACATACTAAAATGCACATATTGTACATGCACTTAAAACCACTAAAAATTTTAAATGTTCAGAAAGGAAAGACATTATAGAATAAAATGGTGGTGGCTGCAATTTTTGTCTGTCACACGGTTTGCGCTACTATTTAAAATACTGTGTAAAATGTAAACTATAAATATTACTAGTTATAACTGCAACATTGAATGTTATACACCTCTACTTTACATTACTGTGTTGTAACACAATGTTCAAATTATTGTATACTTTGTCTGCTTTCAAAAAACTATTGAAAATCAATAAAAAGTGATTTGATTAAAAAAATTAAATACTGTGTAAAAATACATTGAAACTTATTTTAGTGCACACAAACATAATATAATGATATTATATTTATTAATTTGTGGCATATTACTGTAGAATGTAAACAAACTCTTGACTGGTATAGTGGCCGTGAGTTTGTTTGTGTGTGAGTATTGAAAACCCTACAAAAGTCCTAAACCTTAAAGTGATATTAAAGTCAAACATTGTTATTCACAAAAGGTTGAAGAGTTTGGAGAAGGCAGGAGAAGTGAACAATCTAGGCCAAAATACAGATGTTCCTCGCTTACCGACTTACCTGTTTTGCGACCACTCGCACTTACGACGGACCGCCGATCGACCTCCGACCTTGCGCGTCAACGTCAGTGCGCCGCGTCGCCGGCGGAAGTGGTGTCCTCCGATCTTCACTGCGGGTCCCGGTAAGTGTTTTCATTGCCCGATGCACAGTACACTGTTCGGTACTGTACATCGGCAACGCTATACAGTACTGTACTAATGCAGTACAGTACTGTATAGAGTTCCTCACTTAACGACCAATCCGTTTAACTACCTGGTCGTAGGAACGGAACTCGGTCGTTAAGTGAGGAATACCTGTAGCTGATTTGGAAAAATTCAGCGCCCTTTCCAGTTCAGCTATGTTGTCCTACATTGTTCACTTCTCCTGCCTTCTCCAAACTCTTCACCCTTTTGTGAATAACCCTGAAAATGTTTGTAAGCAAATCAAATGCTGATTAAATCACTTACAATGGATGCTGCTTCTTAATGTTTAAAAGTTTTAGTTTCCTGCAGAATCAGCTGGTCCCCTGTTTAAGGGTGACTCCTTTTCCTTGCAGGATCCTATGGGCCCAATGTGTGTGCTAGTAAACTGTGTGTGTCTCCAAAACACAAAGGCACAGCAAGGCGTGCCACTCCCTGCTATGCATTCCAGCTGCTGGAGACTGCTCTTTCCCTTGTGATCTTGTTCTGAACAGGAAGTTCAGGAAAGGGGAACTGAGACAGTTGGAGCCAGCTGTTTGGATGACTTGATGACTTGAAGCATTTGAGCAAAAGTGTAAAGAAATACTTGCACACTCTGTGTATTGTGGGGTGCCGTAATGCAGGTGTGTTACCATCTACTGTGTCTGTGTGTTGGGGTGCTATTGTAAATGAATGGTACCACATCATAATGTGAATTTAAGTGTATTACTGTACTGCAGATGTCTAAAGTCACCCGTAATGCAAAATTAAAAAAAGAAAGATTTGACTCAAATTGGCTTTTAGGTATCCTCATGCTGCAGTTTACTATTTTTAAAGTACCCAATGGTATATATATATATATATATACAGGTGAAACTCGAATAATTAGAATATCGTGCAAAGTTCATTTATTTCACTAATGCAACTATTAGCTCCCGACCTTCCAATTGTATATAAATGTTTTGCAATCCATCCTTTATGCTTTATTACTAAAATACTTCCCAAGGTACATATTCCAAAAGTGATTATAGACTTATAATTTAGCTCTATTCAATGAATGTGGAAAGACTCACCATGACTGTGTCACCAGCCTGAGAGCTACTACAACCCAACTGTTGTAAAGCTGTCCTGCCATCAGTTCCAGAACTCTGCTCACTGGGTACAACTGTAACTGCTGGAAAAGTAAAAATGTAATAGACATGAAAAGAACACAGACTAAGCGTGCATGTTTCCTAAGTGGTAAATGGCAGCCCAAGCTGTCATTAGCAAAGGTACAAAGTTTAGGTACAAGTTTAGACTTGCTAGCTGCAGTGGGTACTCATTGACGTTTCCCATCTACCGCCACATAGGCAGATTGCAGACTGTAAGCCATTAGTTCAGACTGCGCTCTGAAACTGGCCTCGCTACCTTCCTGTTACACATAACACTCCTCTCATGGTGGTTTGAGCTTTAAAATAAGAAGCTACTCAATGCTGTAATATTAATAAGTAATAACTTTAGGAGAAAAGTGTACCTTAAAAGATTTACAGCTTAAAGTGTAACTATGGGAAAAATAAGAAAGGATATATGTGACCTGGAGTTAAGCTTTAATGTGTTTGCCACACGCTTAATACATTTTTTTTTTCTTTAGGTCCGTGATGCATGCATCGAAGACTACTTCACCCCGTGAACAAAAAAATTGAGTAGTGAAATCACCACACACTAAAAAAAAAATTGCACAAGGGTGCTTTGGTCCTCCTCCGAAGAGGAAGGGCCTTGAATTCCTGAACCCCCCGGGGCGCAAGGCTCCTGACAGGGGCAATGACGGCTTAGGTCCATTTACCCGAAGGCTGGTGGACCCCTCTCCTCATGGACCTGCTGAAACAGGTCCACCAGGTACTGGGTTGGGGGCTCTCCTGAAGAGAGACCCCCGAGTGGGAGGAGTCAGGGGGACCCAAAGAGGCCACAGAATCTCCTCCCCGACATCAGGAAGGGGCCCCCGAAGGTACCAGCGGCCTCCATCTTCTGTGAAGTAAAAAAAAGGTGTATTCGAGCATAAAAAAAAGTGCATGATTAAATAAGTGTCAGTGCACAACGCTGACAGGCCTTAAGCCTGGAGTGCAAAAATATTGCCCCAGGCTAGCCATAAGGCCTGCCCTAAAGGCGTTTAATAGATTTTAAACTGCATGTCCATCTAAGAATGTCCTGTACTCAGGGTGACAACAATGCTCTGCGATTGTACTGCAGAATGAACAGCTTTGAACACTCTATTACAAAAAAGTGGAAAAATAATGGATTCTCTGTCAGGATCAAATGGTGATTCAACTATTACATTTTTTTATTTTGCCAATAGTTCCACTTTAATCCATGTCTGAACAAATCCTGGGGATACTATATTTAGGGCTAAACTCCAGAAATTATTTATTTAAACTATTTGAATTATTTCTTTAATTTAAATTATTAATTTAAACATTTTTTATTTAAATTATTTCTTAAAACTTGCATGGGTCCAGCTAGAACAGAACATAGGTCCCATCTATGTCTATAGGCCAGATCATAAGACCCATCTATGTCTATAGGCCAGATCATAAGACCCATAGAGGTCTATAGGCCAGATCATAAGACCCATAGAGGTCTATAGACCATATCATAAGACCCATAGAGGTCTATAGGCCAGATCATAAGACCCATAGAGGTCTATAGACCATATCATAAGACCCATAGAGGTCTATAGGCCAGATCATAAGACCCATGTACTGTATATCTACATCTGAACATCAGACCCATCGATGTCTATAGAACAGAACATGGGACCCATCTATGTCTTCAGAAAAGAAGACCCATATATGTCTTTAGAACAGAACATGGGACCACTTATGTCTTTAGAACAGATCAGAAGACCCATATAGGTCTATAGCACAAATCATAAGACCCACGTACTGTATATCTATAGAACAGAACATAAGACCCATCTATGTCTATAGAACAGAACTGAAGACCCATCTATGTCTCTAGAAAAAAATGGAAAACTCATATAGGTCTATAGAACAGAACAAAAGACCCATCAATGTCTATAGAACAGAATGCAAAAAACATCTATGTATATAGAACACAACGATAGATCCATCTATGTCTATAGAACAGAACATAAGACCCATATATATCTATAGAACAGAACATAGGGCCCATTAATGCTTGTAGATCAGAACATAAGACCCATATATGTCTATAGAACAGATCATAAGAACCATGTATGCCTATACATTACAACATGGGACCCATACATATCTATAGAACAGAACATAAGACCCATCTATGTCTATAGAACAGAACATAAGACCCATCTATGTCTATAGAACGTAACGTAACAGCCATCTATGTCTTTAGAACAGAACATGGGACCCATATACAGTATATCTATAGAACAGAACATAAAACCCTTGTTTGTCTATAGAACAGAACATAAGACCCATTTATATCTATAGAATGTAACGTAACAGCCATCTATGTCTATAGAACAGAACAGAAGACCCATGATGTGTCCTTACACTCAGTGTCTTTTCTTGTGATCTCGAACACTTTGTGAGGAACAGTGGAGTTTGAGCTGTTGTCCTCAACCAAATGGATGCTGTCTTTCTGATTCAATGCTGAACGAAAATTTCTCTTCCATCTTGCAGGGTCTGCTTTATGCCTTGTTGGGTCATAACAGCCACTGTCAATAGCCCAGTCCTATAAATGCCATGAGACATAAGAATATTATAGGTATTAAAAGATAGCATTGTTTTACAGTAAATGTGTTAGAACTACTTGTCCTAATCTTGCTGCATGCTTGCATGTTTGGGTGGAACAAGCATACATCTGATATGCCACGTGTAACAGTTTTTAACCATTGCTATAAAAGTATAAATGGAGATGGGGGGGGGGCGGCTTCTGGAGAGGAAGCCTAAAGTTAAACCATACACACACAATTTAATACACAGTTCAAATACATACTGTGTATGTTTACTGATTTACATGCCAAAGGATTTGTAATTCTGTACAGCCAGAATCAGCAGCATTATCTCTGTACAGTAAGTGTGGATAGAGAATTGTTCCCTGCCAGCTATTATATTAATGATTACTGCTGCTGAATTCTTTGTTAAAGTGCTTATCCTAGCAGTATTCTACCTAATGTAGATCCAATTGGTTACTTTTGAGTCAATTCAATTTTTCATTCCATTTTTTTAAATCCCTGATGACGGGAGAGTTGTGCAGCCTCCAAAATGCATTGGCTTATGTATGTGACTTTATTACAAACAAACACTTTGGACTCTTTCATTCTGCAGTTTGGTGCCCATCTGGATGTCTGTACTTTGAGCTTTAATATTCATGTAGCTGGTAGATAGCTGGCTGTCTAAGGCTTGTTCACACCAAGTATGGAGCAGATGCAGAGCAGAGCAGTTTGAGAACGCATAAAAAATGCATCCAATGTATTCGAATGGTATTTTTTCTGCTCTGGAACGCACCAAAACACATCACACACAACACAATGCATGCAAACGCTCTAGAACTCACTGGACTACACATGAAAGCCCATTTAAGGGTACACTCCCCCCCC